AATAAATCATTAGTTCCCTTTTTATGACCTTTGGTTAATTGTTTAACAACCTCTTGGAATGTGCTCTGAGTAGGAGAAAGTCTGGTTACAATCCAAGAGCAATTAACTGGTGACACTGGGGAGACTGGCAGAGTTCTCATTGCAGTTTTGACTATCAGAAAAAGGACCTAATAGAAGTCCCACTATAAAAGAACTTAATAATCACTGATGTAATTTTAGGAATTCTTATAGGATTATCATTAAGACTTAAGAAGTCACATATTTGTCTATATAGCATCACTACAAGACAGTATATCTTGGCGGATCTGCAGAGATCTGTTCCAAAGGGGTGTGCTATTACTTAATAATTGTTATATATGTTTAATAATGACAGACAGGAAAAGCATATTAATAGCAGGAATTTTTCCTAAAATGAATCCCTTATAGCCTTGTAAAAAAGGAACAAATCTGTCTCAGATTATACAATAATCTGAACAGGTCATCTCAGAATGATCACCTGCTGTTATTAGCTTGTCCCATTATGGCTCCTGACACTTTTTTATTCTCCATCTCCCTGTCTTAGTTAGGGTTTCATTGCTGTGAAGAGACACCATGACCAAGACAACTCTTTTTTTGTTTGTTTGTTTGTTTGTTTGTTTTTCAAGACAGAGTTTCTCTGTGTAGCCCTGGCTGTCCTGGAACTCACTCTGTAGACCAGGCTGGCCTCGAACTCAGAAATCCAGCTGCCTCTGCCTCCCAAGTGCTGGGATTAAAGGGGTGCACCACCACTGCCTGACAAGACAACTCTTGTAAAGGAAAACATTTACTGTTTCAGAGGTTTAGTCCATTATCATCATGGAAATATGCAGGCAGGCATGGAGCTGAAGCAGGAGCTTACAGTTCTACATTTTGATCCAAAGGCAGCAGGAGATTGTGACACTGAGTGTAGCTTGAGCTTCTATGATACCTCAAATCCCCACTCCGCAGTGAAATACTTCTTCCAACAAGACCACATCTCCTAATAGTGCTACTCTCTATGGGCCAAGCATTCAAACACTTGAGTCTATGGAAGCCATTCCTATTCAAACCTCTCCTCCTCCTCTTCCTCCTCCTCTCCCTCCTCCTCCTCCTCTTCCTCCTTCTCCTCTTCCTCCTTCTCCTCTTCCTCTTCCTCCTCCTCTCCCTCTTCCTCCTCCTCTTCCTCCTTTTCCTCTTCCTCCTCCTCTCCCTCTTCCTCCTCCTCTTCCTCCTCCTCTTCCTCCTTCTCCTCCTCTTCCTCCTCCTCCTCTCCCTCCTCCTCTTCCTCTCCCTCCTCCTCTCCCTCCTCCTCCTCTTCCTCCTCCTCCTCCTCTTCCTCCTCCTCCTCCTCTCCCTCCTCCTCCTCTTCCTCCTTCTCCTCCTCCTCTTCCTCCTCCTCTCCCTCCTCCTCCTCCTCTTCCTCCTTCTCCTCCTCTTCCTCCTCCTTCTCCTCTTCCTCCTCCTTCTCCTCCTCCTCTTCCTCCTCCTTCTCCTCTTCCTCCTGCTTCTCCTCCTCTTCCTCCTCCTCTTCTTCCTCCTCCTCTGTGTGTGTGTGTGTGTGTGTGTGCACACGCACATACATGGAGCCTATAAGAGGGCACCAATCAGTTACCCTGGAGCTGGAATAACAGAGGTTTGTGAGCCTGAGCCTGATGTGGGTGCTGGGAACCAAACTCTAATCCTCGGCAAGACCACTAAGCCCTCTTAACCACTTAGCCATCTTTTCAGCTCTCCCTTTTTAATATTTCATTTCTACTTTAATTATTTAGTTTGTGTGTGAGTGCATAAGTGTGCACATATCTATGTGTGGGTGCACTTGTTCTCACCTACCATGTGGATCCTGGGGTTTGAAGTCAGGTAGTCCGGCTTGGCAGCAAGCACCTCTGCCCACTGAACCATCTCGATGGCCAAGGTTTACTTGGTTAATTTTCTTTACTGTATGGGTAAGGAAGAATGTGTGTATGTATTCATTTTTGTGAGTGTGGGGTATGTACATATGTGAGCGTGAGTCCAGTGTAGTGGAGGCCAGAGATTGACACTAGGTATCTTGATCTATAGCTTCCTACTTCAGTTTTTGAGACAAGGTCTTTTCAGTGAACCTTGTGCTCAACAGTTGGCTAGACTTGCATAGATAGGTATAGATATACATACAGAGATATAGAGATATATGCATATATATACATATATTAAACAGCTAAGAAGTGGGGAGGAAGAAAGAGCATGAGAGGCACAGCAGGTGTTGGGGGTCCTTGCCTTTAAGAGGCACAGCATGCCAGAATTTGGGAAGTAGAGGCTTTGTGATTGCAAAAGATGGGCACTCTCATCTCCCTGCCCAAGCTTCCTGCTTTGCTGCCGTTTGCTGCCATGACTTCTCTGGTATCATGGACTCTTCCTCTAGAACTATATACCAAAATAAACTTCTTTTTCCATAATTTCTGTTGATCACGGTGTTTTATCACAGCTACAGGAAAGTAACTGATATACTTAGGAAGAGGGATCTTCAGGTAAGGGGGTGCCTCCATCAGATTGGCCTGGGTTGTGTCCTTTGGAGCACTTTCTTTTCTTTTTTTTTTTTGATTTTGTTGTTGTTTTTTCTGTTTTTCGAGACAGGGTTTCTCTGTGTAGCCCTGGCTGTCCTGGAACTCACTCTGTAGACCAGGCTGGCCTCGAACTCAGAAATCCAGCTGCCTCTGCCTCCCAAGTGCTGGGATTAAAGGCGTGTACCACCACTGCCCGGCTGGAGCATTTTCTTGATTGGTAGTTGACACTGTGGATGCCAACATCCTTTGACAGATGGCCTGGGTTATATAAGAAAAGTGGTTGAGTGTGAGCCTGGGAACAAGCCAATAAGCAGTGGTCCTTCATGGTTTCTACTTCAGTTCTTGCCTTGGTTTTAATCTAAAAGAGACAAACCCCCACACACACACAGAGTGTTTTTAGTTTGTCTTATCACAGCAACAAACAAAAAGAAAACTAGTACAGCCTCAGAGGACAGCTTACTGGGGTTGGTCCTTCTATCATTTGGGTTCTATGGTCCAGTTCAGGCCTTCAGCCTAACCTCAGTAGCCTTTACTCTCTGAGCCATCTTGCCATTGCCTTCCCCCTTTTGTTGGGACAGAGAGGGCCTCATGTATTGCTGGATGCCTAGGTGTTAGTTTATTCAGAGTTGGAAATAGAAGCCAGAGCTTCATAAAAGCAGGTAAGCCCCATGCTCCAGACCCCTCTTCCAGGGTTCTTTATGTCATGGCATTCCCCAAAGGGATTTTTTTTTTGGGGGGGGGGTTGGTTTTTCGAGACAGGGTTTCTCTGTGTAGCCCTGGCTGTCCTGGAACTCACTCTGTAGACCAGGCTAGCCTCAAACTCTTGAACTCAGAAATCCGCCTGCCTCTGCCTCCCAAGTGCTGGGGTTAAAGGTGTGTGCCACCACTGCCCGGCTTCCCCAAAGGGATTTAAGGAAGCCACATCTCTCCAGAAGTTGCTGTCTTAGATAAAAGGCTTCTTTTTGTATCCACTGAGTCTCGAATATGTTTGGCTTAAATTAATCTTCAGACCAGGTCAGTAAGACGGCTCAACAAGTAAAGGCACTTGCCACTAAGCCTGGGTCCCCAGAACCCATACCATGGGATAAAAGAACTAACTACATCAAGTATTCCTTTGACCTAGACACATGTGATGCAGCACAAAGGTGCACACACCCATACTCACTGACAGGCATACACACAAAATTAATCAATCTACATGTAAATAAACAAATGGAGAAAAGTCAGAAAGACAACTGTTTCAACATGAGAAACTCTTACAAACTTCTCTTTCTGTGTTGTCTCAAAATTCCCATTGTGTTACCTAAAGAAAACCTACTAGGGAGCTCAAGAGACGGCTCTGCGGTTAAGAGCCAGAGTACCCTGGCTCACAGTCCATAATTCCAGTTCCAGTGTTCTGGTGCCCTCTTCTGGCTACTGCAGGCACTGCATATATAGGGTATGCCTACAGACAGGCAAAACACTCATCACATAAAATAAATAGGGACTGGACAAATAGTTCACAGTTAAAAGTATTTTCTGTTCTTCCAGAGGACTTGAGTTCAGTTCCCAGTACACTGGGCCTCTCACAACAGCCTAAATTCTAGGTCCGGAAGATCCTACACCATTATTCTCTATGGTCATCTGAATTCCTGAATACATATCCACTCACAGACACACATATGTGACATCAAAACTATAAATATGTGTTGCATTATGTTGTGGAGATTTCATGGTGAGGACTGGTGGGATTTCGAGTCCTGAACTTGGGGGAACTCAGGGATTGGTGGATTTTTTTTTCTTGTAGGGCGGGGTGTGGCCACTTTCCCACCATTAGGGTCATTAGGGGAAAAAGGAGGACATGCGGGGGTGGAGGAGTTGGGGAGGTTGGCCATTGAAGCTCCTCAGGCAGGGGCCTGGCCACTTTCCTGCTTGAGTGTTTATAAAGTTTACAAAAGGGATCCATGGGGGCTGGAGAGATGGCTCAGCAGTTAAGAGCATTGACTGCTCTTCCAGAGGTCCTGAGTTCAAATCCCAGCAACCAAATGGTGGCTCACAACCATCCATAATGAGATTGGATGCCCTCTTCTGGTGTGTCTGAAGACAGCTACAGTGTACTCATAAATAAAATAAAAAAATAAATCTTTAAAAAAAACAAAAGGGATCCAATGCAAGGAAGGCTTTCCCTGTTGCTCGTTGGCGTGGGCATGGCTAATGTTTGGGAATTTAAATTTGCTTTGAGTCCATGGAGCCCAGGCTGTCTTCGAATTATGCATATGAGAATGGCTTTGAACTCCTGATCCTCCTGCCTCCACCTCCCAAATGTTGGAATTAAAGATGTGGGGGCTCCAGTCACGGCTCTGGGTTTTTTAGTTTGTGGCCAGTAGGTGGCGCTCGAAGTCGCCCAATACCAGACACCCGGGCCTGCTCTTTTGCTACACTTCCGCCTCTACTTCCGCTTCCGAGAATTGAAGGGGACGTCACTTCCGGGAGCTCCGCGTGGACTGACTTGTTTGGGGTTCTCCACTATGGCCGAGTTAGCAGGCCCTGCAAAGCCGAGTCTAGCTTTGAACCCGAAGAAAGACTCGCAGTTTGAGAAGACTCTGACGCAAATCCAACGGCGCGCGAAAAAGGTGAGCGGCGGGGCGGCCGGGCTGATTCGGGAGCCGACCTCTCACGAGCTTGGAGACTATGGTTCCGGTCAGGAGACTGTGGCAGGTCAGGAACCGGTGTGAGGTTTGGCCCTTTCGGCCCTCAGGACTCACGTGTGGGAGCATGGCACCTCCAAATCTCAGAATATGTTAAGGCTGCCACGCTTCCGCTTTGGCCCGCAAAACGAGGGTTCATAGTCTACCACAGCATTTGGAAGGTATGTCCTTACCTTGTAGTGCTTAGAAAATGGAATAGACATCCGGAAACTCAGCTTCTGGGACAGGGAAGCAGGAGGATCGAGAGTCAGAAAACAGCTCGGGCTCAGTGTTCAGACCAGAGCTTCGTCAAAGAAAACAGAGATTACAGCCTGCCGAGTACTTGGTAGACAGCGTCCCTGACGGAATTTTACATCCCTTTGGTTTTCAGCATGGGGTGCATTGGAGAGAACGAAAATTTTTCTTTTTGTTTTGTTGTTATCCTGGGGGCTCTTTTGGGCGGATTGTTTTTGTTGCAGTGTCAGTGTGGGGTTTATTGTAGCCCAAGCTAGCCTCACATTTGCCATGCAGTCGAGGTCTTGAACCCCTCTATCCACTTAATGAATACTGGGATTACAGCTATAGGTCTCTATAGATCACCCTGTACGGACCTAACGGCAAACAAGTTCTTGTTCTCTAGGGTAATAGTATGGTGACAAAGAAGTACTGTCTGCACTGTGAAGGTTAACAACCGGAGACAGTAAGATTCAGTGTAATAAACTGCCATCTGCATTCAGAGTTGGAGGTCTTGGGTTCAGAGTGACAATGACAGACTTTTACTTGCTTGTCCATTTCTCTCTCTCTCTCTCTCTTTGGTTTTTCGAGACAGGGTTTCTCTGTGTAGCCCTGGCTGTCCTGGAACTCACTCTGTAGACCAGGCTAGCCTCGAACTCTCGAACTCAGAAATCCGCCTGCCTCTGCCTCCCAAGTGCTGGGATTAAAGGCGTGCGCCACCCCCCCCCCCCCCCCCCCCCCCGTTGATTTATCTCTTGAACCCGTGTTGGGCTGACTGTTTTGTAGGGACAGGTGATTGTGGACATGTGTGCGTAGGTCGAAAGACATCCCTTGGGGGATCTGACTCTTGCAGTCTGTGGCTCTGTGTTACTAAACTCAAGCCTCAGCCTTGCACACCAAGTGCTTAAGGCAAGAGAAATATCAAACATCTCATTTTTCAGTTTCTGCTGTGAGAGAGATATGAGTATGTTCCTGGACCAAGGGGAATGAAGGGTGTTGAAATTTTTGGTGCAGGCCAGGCAAGGTGACGTCTACCTTCCATCCCAGTGCTGGAGAGACAGAGGCAGACAGATCTCTACCTATCCTCTAAAAGGACTTTAGAAAGCTGGGTGGTGTGAGTTAGAGCCTAGCCTGGACTACAAAGCTAGCTCCAGGACAGCTAGGGCTACACAAAGAAACCCTGTCTCAAGGGGGGGAAAAAAGACTTTAGAATTAATTTTCTCTGAAGTTATGGAATGGTAACATAAAGACCTTTGCAGGGCATGGTGATACAGCCCTTTAATCTTAGTGTTCAGGAGTTAGAGGCCAGCCTGCTCTGCATAGTGAGTTTTGGGCCAAGGCTCCATAGTGAGACCCAGCTCAGAAAAATGTGTATACACAGACAAGTTTTGGTGCAGTATGAGTTCGTATTTTTAAAATGTTTATCTGTTTTGTCCTCAGCAAAAGAAGAAAGATAAAGTTAACTCCGGAGTAGTTTATCTGGGCCACCTACCTTCAACACTTTCTGAAGGCCATATCTATGACTACTGTGCCCAGTTTGGCGATATTAGCAGATTCAGATTGTCCAGAAGCAAGCGGGTAAGACTCTGTACCTGAATTCAACTATGTATATTTTCCTCGTCAATTGTATGTCATCCTTTATTCATAGGCACAGTATTGTTACCTACAAAGTTCCCACAAGCCAGACATGGTGGCGCATACGTTTAGTCCCAGCACTTAGGAAGCAGCGGCAGGGGAAGCCAGCCTGGGTTATGTTGTGAGTACATAGAGCTTGTCTCTAAATAAGTAAATGTTAGTAAAGTAATTTTACAAGTTGCAGTGGAATCACAAGAAAGTAGGCATGGTATAGTGGTCCATACCTTTAGTCCCAACACTTGGGAGACAGGGACAGGCAGACCTCTGAGTTTGAGGCCAGTCATAGCTGCATGGTGTGGATTTCCATCTCAGTAAAAAGAGAGAGATCATGAGACTGCAGAGATAGCTCAGTCTATAACTGTTAACCTACAGAACCCAGGTCAAAAGCCAGGTGTGGTCCCACATACGTGTGACTCCAGTGCTGGGAGGGGGTTCCTCACTAGTCAGCTGAACACACCAGTGCCAGACTTGTTTCAAAATGCTAAGAGCACTTGTGCTATAAACACGGAGTGGAACACGTGCACACGCACCAAGTGAGAGGCCAGGTGTGACCCCAGTATTGGGAACTGGAGCTGCTGATTGTAGAACTTGCTGCCAGCCAGTTTAGCCAAAACAACAAGCAACCGGGTCAGTAAAAAGTCCTATCTTCAGAGGATACAGTGGCGATCCATAGAAAGTACTGTGCCTCCTCCGGCCTCTGCCTGTGCACAAACAAAAGACAGTCGAGTGTCTTGAGGAACAGCACTGGAATTTCATACTTTACGTCGGCTTATGGTTTGTTAGAAGACATTCCTATCCCTATTCTGGTCAGATAGACTTATAGGGCTTCCCTCAGGAAAATCAGGCAGCAAGGAATGACAGCCTCAAGAGCAGAATCAGTATTCTAAATGTTCATTAAACTAAGCCAGTTGCTTCTCATCCTCGGGACTACGGACAAGTAGACCATGTTTATTTTGTGAATGCTAACTCTGGAGTTAATGAACTTCAGTTTGGTTTATATAAGGCATTTCTAGTAGATTCCCTAAAACCACAGGACCCATTTTTTTTGTGAATTTGCTTTTACTGGAGTTTAAGTCATGGGATGGGAATTGTCCCTTTGTGATTCCACCTCCTTCTTGAGGCCTACTGCCAGCTGATTCTTCCCTGAAAGAGAATTTCCTCCTCTTGGGAGTCCTGCTGGTTGCCTCTCCTAGTTCCCTGAGCAATTCTTCCTCTTGGGAGACTTGTGCTGCCCCATCTGTCTCTGCAAGATCACTAAACTACCTCCTTGGAAGAAAGGTGTTCTTTTGTTTGAGTGTAGGCAAGGAGAAGGTGAGTCTTTCATTTTCCTGAGGAGGCTCCTTGGCTTTGGTTCTTTCTTTGTGGGTTGTTGAGTCTCCTGGAATGCTTCTGGAATGTACCTGCAGGTGCCATGGCCAACACAGCCAGCAGCCTCTTCTCCTTTGTCAAGTGTTTCTCCTCAGTTCCTCCAGCTTCCTGATAATCTTAGCAGCCACTTCCTCTGTCTGAGTCATAGCTTCTAAAGTCTGTACACTCTACAATCTCATGGGATGGCTATTCCTCACTTGCCCTAGACTCTTCGCCCCAAATGCATCTGTGGGCCCCTCAAAGAAATAATTGTTTCTTGATGTATTACTGCATTTGTTTAACAGCTACTAGGCGATGCAACCTTTGTTCACTGTTCAGCTAGTGAAGGTGCAGTGAAAAATGAGTCCATATTTGCTCCAGAAACCTGGTTCCAGTTCCAAAGCCTAGGAGTGGCTCAGATACTAGAATGAGCCGTCACTTGCATGACAGAGGCCATGTATTTAGATGTATATCCTCTAAACACCTTTAAAGTGTTTGGTTTTTATTTGATTGGTTTGAGACGGAGATTAACTGTGGAGTTCTGCTGTCCCAGACTTGCCACATAGACCAGGCTGGCCTTGAGCTTGCAGCTATCCTGCGTCTACTTCCCAATTACTAGGATTATAGGGATTCACCACTTTTCCCAGCTTAAAGGGAATTTTATTAATTATCTGTATGGGTATTTGTCTATATTTTTTCTCACCACATGCATGCCTAGTGCCTGCAAAAGCCAGGAGGGAGAGCATCAGAGCTTCTGGATTAGGAAATTTCAGCTACCATCTGGGTGCTGGGAATTGAACCCAGGTCCAGTGCTCTTCATTAGCCACTGAGCAATCTCTCCAGCCCCTACAGCCTTCTTAATGCCGCGGCCCTCTCATACAGTTCCTCATGTTGTGATAGCCCACAACCATAAAATTATCTCATGGCTCTTTCTTTTTGGTTTTTCGAGACAGGGTTTCTCTGTATATCTCTGGCTGTCCTGGAACTCCCCCTATAGACCAGGCTGGCCTCGAACTCAGAAATCCACCAGCCTCTGCCTTCCAAGGCCTGGGATTAAAGGCGTGTGCCACCAACGCCCAGCTCATTGCTCTTTCATAAGTGTGTTTTTTTGTTTTTTTTTTTGTTTTTTTTTTTGTTTTTTTTGTTTTTTTTTTTTTGCCTGCTTATATGGTGCTTGGGCTTAAACCCATGTCTTTGTGTTGGACATTCAGCCCTTAGCTTTTTGGTTTCTTTTCTTTCTTAATTACTTTTGTTTATTTGAATGGACAGGGGTGAATGTCCTTCCACCATGTGGTTCCTGGGGTTGAAGTCAGGTCATTAGATTTGGTAGGTGATGCTGTTGTCTGATGAGTCATTTCGCTGGCCCTTGGTTTTTCTTCTTGGAATGGCATATCCTTTCAAATTACTTTTCAAAGGATCTGTTCGTTTGCGGTGATGGTCTGTTGTGTTGAAGTTCATAGTCCATCGCTCTTCTACTCCACCAGCTTGCTCCTGTGTTTTTAGTGGGATTGGAAGTGCTGGTGGGAGATGGTTGGTGGTTGATGCTCAGCCTGGCCTTACTCTGTCTGTGTAACTGAAACTAACTTTGAATTGCTGGTGTTTTGGTTTTTTTTTTTTTTAATATGTTGTTGAACTTTGTGGAACATTGGTGTTTTCTTAGCACCCTGATGAGAGTTTATTTTATTGCCCTCATTTCTCAGACATGTAAGTCTCAGACTTACATGTTACTTAACATAGGTCAGGATGTCAGTGCCAGGATCAAAGTGTAGACATTTGAACTCCAGAACCCACCGTACACTTAAGGCTATTCTGGGTGTGGAAATCCACTTGTGAGCTGGTACAGGTTAGGAAGTCAAGGCCTCTTCCTTTGCCTAGGCTATGGAAATAGGTACAAGTTCCTTGATGAGACTCATGACACTGGAGACTTGGTTGTTTCCACCCTTAACATGTGAGGTCAAGCTGCCTGTGCTCTCCTCTGGTGCTGGGGACTGAAACCAGGGCACAGTAGGTAAGCACGGGCTTACATTGCTATTTTGAGACAGTCTTTCTTAGTTGCCCAAACTGGCCTCATTATACTCATAAGATCCACCTGCTTCAGCCTCCTGTTTAACTGAGATTACAGCCTGGGATTACCTGAACTGCTAGGGTTTTTAATGAAAAGAAAAAAGAAGAAAACCTGGCCCTCACTGGCATGTGACAAGTAGGACTGCCAATGAAATGAGAAATGAGTAGACAAGTCCAGGACTGTGGGAGCCCAGAAGATAGCCTTCTTACCACCAGACAGCACTACTGAATTCCTTGTAGCTAGAATACTCAGGGATGTATCATACTAAGCCGAATTTTAGGGTACCAGAAAAATCTATATTCCAAGCTGTGACTGTCTTGTCTTCTGTCTGTCTGTCTGTCTGTGTGTTAGTTCTGTGGGCTTTTTTTGGGGGGGGAGGGACATCGGCATTGAAATAGTAAAAGTTGTGACTGGGGCTTGTTAGGAGTTTGATGATACTTAGACTTAACAGCTTTTTTGTGGGTTTTCTGTTGCAGACGGGAAACAGCAAAGGCTATGCCTTTGTGGAGTTTGAGTCTGAGGATGTTGCCAAGATAGTTGCAGAAACAATGGATAACTACCTTTTTGGTGAAAGACTTCTATCATGTAAGTACTCTGACCTTTCTGCACTGTGATGAGATTACAAAGTTACTTGTGGTGTTGTACTCAGGAAGAGAAGCTGACCCATCTTTAATGGGTGGTTGGAAAGAACTTTGTTCAAATTGAAAACTGATTGGTTTAAAGCCCAGCATAAATGGCACATGCTTTTTTTTTTTTTTTTTTTTTTTTTAAAGATTTATTTATTTTATGAATGTGAGTACACAGTTGCTGTGATCAGACACACCAGAAGAGGGCATCAGATCCCATTACAGATGGTTGTGAGCCACCATGTGGTTGCTGGGAATTGAACTCAGGACCTCTGGAAGAGCAGTCGGTGCTCTTAACCACTGAGCCATCTCTCCAGCCCGGCACATGCTTTTAATCCTGGCACTTGGGAGGCAGAGGCAGGGTGATCTCTCTTAAGTTCAGGGACATCCATGGCTATGTAGAGACCTTACATCAAAAAAGGAAAAGAAAACTAATGGTTAGATAGGCATGAGCAGGCAAAGGGACAGCAGTGCAGCCTGAGGTCATTTCTTACCAAATGAATGGTAACTAACCTTTAGTTATTGGAATATTGGGGAACTCAAATGGAGAGCGGGAGATAGGCTACAGGTCAGATTCTTGACAGCCATAAAACTAAAACATTAATGTGAGGCCTAGGTGTAGCCTGCAATGGCAAGACCAAAAGTAAAAAATCACATTTCAAGGTCAGACTCAATGACGGTGGGTGGCTTCAGGCTCAGTGAGAGGCTATTTGAAGGAAGTAAATCAGAGAGTGAGAGAGTAGAAAACCACATGTCCTCCTTGTTCTGCACAGACGACTCACCCACAGATGCACATGTGAGTCATTCCCACAGAGATCTGTTAAGTAGAGACACTGCAAACTTTTCTGTCTCATCACCATCCAGATCTCTGCCCATGGAAGGTAGACCTAAGTGTCCAGCCTGCCTACAGCTATGGTAGAGTGTGCCCTGCCCTGGGACCAGCTTACAGGTTCACAGGGCTTCCTGGTAACATTTTTCTCCCAGTTTCAGTCACCATGGGAGACGTCATGATCATGGGTGCTCCATGTTCAGTTGAAAGCCTGGCTCCTGTGGGAAGAAAGTGGCTGGGCAGAAACATGAAGCCATTGGTGCTCTGCTTTGTCTGGTTTGAGGAAAATACCAGAAAGGGCTCTGGATTCTACTGAGTTTTTTGACTGTTGCCACAAGTCCTTACCCTGTCCAGGAGAGAGTGGGATTATCTGGGACTAGGAGTGTAGTTATCTGGTAGAGTGCTGGCCTAGCATGCACGAGGCTATGGATTTTTACCCTAGGGGCGTATGCACTGCTTCTGATGGCACAAGCCTTTAATGCCTATCTTTGGGGGGTGAAAGCTAGAGGACCTGAAGTTCAAGGTCATTCTAGGCAACTTCAGGGCCAGCTTAGGCTACAGGAAACCCTATGTTTAAAAAAAAATTTTTTTTTTTAAAGAGGACAGAGAGGTGGCTCAGCAGGTAAAACTGCTCGCTGTGAATGTGTGATGGCCTAAATTTGATCCTCAGATCCCACATCAAAGTAGGAGAGAACCAGCTCCACAGAGTCCACCAGCCTCCATGGATGTCAGGGTGTGTGAGCCCACACACATGCATTTCCAGAGACAATAACCATTGTTTGATGTTTAGGGGGTTCTTTCTGTCATGTAGCTAGTTCATATCACATGAAATAGCTATCTGGGAAATATAAAATTAAAAGAGCCTTTCCTCTTTGTTTTATAGGTAAATTTATCCCACGAGAAAAAGTCCATAAAGACCTTTTTTATAGCAAGTGGAATGCTCCGTTTCATCCACCATCATTTCCAGCAGTGAAACGCTATAATCAGAAACGAGGACATTTGCAGATGTTGAAGATGGAGTATCGGTTTAAGAAGAAGGAAAAATTACTCCGGAAGAAACTAGCTGAGAAGGGGATTAATTATAGTTTTCCTTCACTGGTAAATATCCTTTTCCGGTTTTCTTGATGATTTCTCTTAGGGGTGGGCTTCCTGCCTCACTAATTGTCTGTAATTATACAGAATCTATCCCAGTGCTCCTCACACAGTGCTCCTCACACACTAGGTTTTTGGTTTAGTTTGTCCATGTGGCTCTTTTGGTTGATTTGCTGCCAGGCTGGAGTCTACCCATGCTAGGCAAGTGTTCTGTTGCTTTTAATGTTTCTAGTGCTGAGGATGGGACCCAGGACACTGAGCGTGCATCATCCCTCCTTCCCACCCTCAAGCACCTTTTTTGTTTGAGGCTTCCTTCAAACAGCCTCTCAAACAGAAAAGATCTGGCTGAGTTGCATGGACTAGTTTGAATGTAGTTTTTAGCTCAGGCAAGCCTTCATCATACTTCCTCTGGCCTCTGTGTCTTGGGATCCTAAGTAGATAGATGAGCTTACTTATAGCCCTGTACAAGTGGCTCCTACTGTTGTTGATGTTGGTAAGACTGGGTGTCTCATTCCAAGCTGGCATCAAACTTAGAATTTCTGATCTTCCTGCCTCTGCTTCCTAAGTGCTAGATTACAGGCATACGAAATGATACCAGGTTCATGCAGTCCTGGAGGTATAACCCAGAACTTTCAAATATTTTACTTTATATGGACTACATTCCCAGGCCTCTGGCAGCCTTTTTTCCCCCAATATAATTTCCTGCCTGTGTACCAAGTGGTTTCCAGGTGTCCTTGGAGGCCAGAAAAGGGCATCGGATACCCTAAAACTGCTGGACCAGCTTCAGATGGGGTCCCACAAGAATCTCCAGCTTAGCTGAGGACAGGGTGCGAACAGCCACTGCCTC